CTGTTTATGAAACATTGAGGTCTTCATGCATTCCTGGCTGTTTATGAAAAATTGAGGTCTTCATGCATTCCTGGCTGTTTATGAAAAATTGAGGTCTTCATGCATTCCTGGCTGTTTATGAAAAATTGAGGTCTTCATGCATTCCTGGCTGTTTATGAAAAATTGAGGTCTTCATGCATTCCTGGCTGTTTATGAAAATTGAGGTCTTCATGCATTCCTGGCTGTTTATGAAAAATTGAGGTCTTCATGCATTCCTGGCTGTTTATGAAACATTGAGGTCTTCATGCATTCCTGGTTGTTTATGAAAATTGAGGTATTCATGCATTCCTGGCTGTTTATGAAAAATTGAGGTCTTCATGCATTCCTGGCTGTTTATGAAAAATTGAGGTCTTCATGCATTCCTGGCTGTTTATGAAAATTGAGGTCTTCATGCATTCCTGGCTGTTTATGAAAATTGAGGTCTTCATGCATTCCTGGCTGTTTATGAAAAATTGAGGTCTTCATGCATTCCTGGCTGTTTATGAAAAATTGAGGTCTTCATGCATTCCTGGCTGTTTATGAAAAATTGAGGTCTTCATGCATTCCTGGCTGTTTATGAAAATTGAGGTCTTCATGCATTCCTGGCTGTTTATGAAAATTGAGGTCTTCATGCATTCCTGGCTGTTTATGCCTCCCAGGATGACAGTAACCATTCTTCATTCCAAGAATAGCAGGGCAAAAGGTATTCAACAAAAGAAAAGAAAAAAAACATATTGCTAGAAACAACTTGTTCTGGGCTGCCTTAAGCTAAAAAAAGCTGGGGCCTTGTCCCATGATTCCGGACTTTAAACTCATACCAATTTGAGCTTAGACGAATTATACAAGTCAATACATTCGGGCACCGGCGCCCTACCAGCAAACTGAAGATCAAGTCAATCCGACCACTCACGTTGCTGCTGGATCTGGATATACAGAGGTCGCTTCCAAATGACAGCATTGCTCACCTTCTCAAAAATCAACGGTTTCACACATTGCTGGCCATTCACGCCTTCAAAAATGATAGTGACCACTCTCCAAGAATTGCTGGGTAAATATATCACACAAAAGGAAAGAGAAACATTGCTATAATCAACTTACCCAAGGCTGCATAAAGTTGATGACAGTTTATCCAACTTTTGGGCTTTTCCGCATTTTACACTCAAACAAATTACAGCAGAGGCATGTATTTCACGGCCCTTTGACATCAGCTCATTTGCCGGGTGCAGCGTTCCGTCTTCTTGAGCATCATTCACGCCGCTATAAATACGCTGGAACCTGCTACATACACCCTGTAACAGATTCACTGTTACTACTAACACTAGGAATAGGATACACTTATCACCTGCTATTATCACGCTGCTGCTGTTAGGTGTTATGTCCATCATTGCTTGTTCATGTATATAAGAATGCATTATGGCAAGGATCATTGCTTATTCCAAGAATGACTACTGAAGTTAGTTGGACTGTTACACTGGTAGCAAGAGGATGGTTTTTTTTTATCACCTGCTATTATCACGCTGCTGCTGTTAGGTGTTATGTCCATCATTGCTTGTTCATGTATATAAGAATGCATTATGGCAAGGATCATTGCTTATTCCAAGAATGACTACTGAAATTAGTTGGACTGTTACACTGGTAGCAAGAGGATGGTTTTTCTTTTCGTCATGTTCGGGCTATGCGCAGTGGCCGCATTAGTCGCCTACGGTATATTCGAGATTCAGAAGCGTCTGAATCACCTTATCGCACTCGGTCAGTGCGATGGATCAGATCAAACGCCAAGAAGTGCTCAAGCTCCCAGCGGAGAGAGGCCACGCATGCGCCATGTTAAGTCTCCGCCTGTGTTTCGTGGAGATACAAGAGAGTTCAAGGAGTGGGCCTTCGCCATCGAACTCGCCATGAAGTCCCTGCAGCTGGACAACGCGGAGGAGCGCTTGAGCTACGCGGCGAGTTTTCTGGAGGGCAATGCTCGTCTTTGGTTTATCGCCTCTCAGGAGGCAAACACGCTGTTTTCCGACTGGCCAGACCTGAAGAGCAAGCTGGGAGAAGTGTACGGCCCGGTTTATGACAGGGAACAGGCGCGCATCGACTTATTCGCTCTTCACCAAGATGAGACTCTTGACGAATACATCAACAAATTTTCGCGGCTTAGCTTACAAGTTCCCGAGCTTGATGACCACTCCAGAGCTATCTTGTTCACGCGTGGGCTGGCTCAGGGCCTAAGCGGTGAGGTACTTAGGGAGCATCCGCACCATTTGGCCCAAGCCATACGAGCTGCGGTCTCAGCAGACCAGTCGATGCGGCTAGCCCAAGCAAGCTACGCCAAGGCAGTGCGCGCACCAGGGCATCAGAGGCGCCAGCCTGGACCCTGGTCAAGCCAACCAACACCATCCGGTGGGAGAGAAACCAGGGAGCCAGAGGGTCGTTCAAGGCTGTGTTTCACCTGCAGGAAACCCGGCCATATTGCCAGATTCTGTCCAGAAGGAGGGAGGAACGCCACAAGCAAGCCTTCTTTAAACGATGGACGCCAGTAAGGAAGGGAGTGCGACTACTGGCGAACACGAGAGCACCCAGGAATAGGCCACGAATCAAAGTTCAGAACAAATTCAGCCCCTTAGCAAATGAGGAACCACGCCTCGAGGAGACCGAAATTCAAGCCTCGCCTGTCAAGCATTCGTCACCTGATACTGTTGGCCGGCCTAATGAAGTAACCGCCAGCACAGGGAGCATTTCCGCCGACAACGAACACGACCTAATGCGCGTCCAGGGCAAGATAAATGGACGTCGCGTTACCATGCTACTGGATTCTGGGTCAACCCACGACTTCATTTCAACTGACCTTGTCAAGAAGCACAACATCTCCACAACAACCGGTAGCGACGTCCTGAACGTCACACTTGCTGATGGATCGGTCCGCTCACAGCCTATTACGAAAACGGACAGCTTGAAGACCGTAGTCGGCGACTTTAGCGAGCACCAACAGTTCCTAGTATTCCCTATGACGCGGTATGACGTGATCCTCGGCAAACCATGGCTGACCCGGACGAACCCACAGATCAATTTTCGTACCAATGAAATCAAGCTGGAGGGTGGATCCATCATCTGTCAACCGAGTGAAAGTGATGGCACGGACAAATCCAACCCACCGATCGAGACGTTCCTCATCTCAGGGAAGCAGGCTAGGCATGCAATGAGAGGTGGCGCAGAAGGAATCCTAGCGTATGTGACAGCAGATCCGGACGAGCCACAGACGGTGGATAGTCCGGGTAGGGAGGATCAGAAGGATTTCAAGGACCTGCTGAAGGAGTTCGGGGACGTCTTTCCCGATGAGCTTCCAAACAAGCTGCCACCCAGAAGAGGCGCAGATCACGAGATAAAAACGGAAGAAGGAGCTAAACCGCCATCTCGTGCAGCATATCGTTTACCAAAACCAGAGATGGATGAGCTTCAAGCTCAGCTCACCGAGCTGCTCCGTAGAGGATTCATCCAGCCCAGCAAATCCCCATACGGAGCCCCTGTGTTCTTCGTAAAGAAGGCGGATGGAACACTTCGAATGGTATGCGACTGGCGTGAGCTAAACCGCATAACCATTAAGAACAAGGCATGCCTACCGAATATTGACGACCTCTTTGATACCGTCCAAGGCAGTGCGTATTTCACCAAGCTAGATCTGAGGTCCGGTTACAATCAGATTCGAATAGAAGAAACAGATATTCCGAAGACAGCAATAAATACCCCATTCGGTCACTTTCAGTTCACAGTGATGGGTTTCGGCCTAACAAATGCCCCGGCAACATTCCAAACCTTGATGAACAGTGTCCTCCAGCCATACCTGCGTAAATTCGTTGTGGTGTTTCTAGACGATATCCTCATATTCAGCAAATCATGGGAGGAGCACCTCGATCATATCAGAACCATCTTAAACGCCCTCAGGAGGAATGAGCTATATTGCAAACCGTCTAAATGTGAATTCGGCCGGACAGACGTTCTGTTTCTTGGGCACCGGATAGACGGCCAATGCATTTCTCCAGATCCAGAGAAAATTGGGGCTTGTCGCCGTGAATCTTCACTTTGCGACTAAAGTATTCACAGCAGTGCCAAAATGTCTAGGACATTGAATGTGGGTGCCAGCGGCCTACAAGCAAACAAAAAATGAAATCAATACGACCACTCACATTACAGCTGGGTCATGTTATAGAGAGATGCATTAAAATTGACAGGTGGTCAAATATGGTCAAAATTTGACAATTTCTCACCTTTCTTCCCGTTTCAAACTCAGAACTTGAATAATGACCATCCTGATCCTGTTTTATAGCTGGACATAGGGAGGTGCACCAAGAAAAAAGCCACATTTCTCTAAACAACTCGCCCAGGGCTGCTGAAACCTGAAAATAACCCATCTCCAAGTTTGGGGCTTGTCGCCGTGAATCTTCACTTTGCGACTAAAGTATTCACAGCAGTGCCAAAATTTCCAGGTCATTAAATGTGCGTGCCAGCGGCCTACCAGCAAACAAAAAATGAAATCAATACGACCACTCACATTCCAGCTGGGTTATGTTATAGGGAGATACATTAAAATTGACAGGGGGTCAAATATGGTAAAAATTTGACAATTTCTCACCTTTCTTCCCGTTTCAAGCTCAGAACATAAATAATGACCATCCAGACCCTGTTTTATAGCTGGATATAGGGAGGTGCACCAAGAAAAAGCCACATTTCTCTAAACAACTCGTCCAGGGCTGCTGAAAGCTGAAAATAACCTATCTCCAAGTTTGGGGCTTGTCGCCGTGAATCTTCACTTTGCGACTAAAGTATTCACAGCAGTGCCAAAATTTCCAGGTCATTGAATGTGGGTGCCAGCGATCTACAAGCAAACAAAAAATGAAATCAATACGACCACTCACATTACAGCTGGGTCATGTTATAGAGAGATGCATTAAAATTGACAGTTGGTCAAATATGGTCAAAATTTGACAATTTCTCACCTTTCTTCCCGTTTCAAGCTCAGAACTTGAATAATGACCATCCTGATCCTGTTTTATAGCTGGACATAGGGAGTTGCACCAAGAAAAAAGCCACATTTCTCTAAACAACTCGCCCAGGGCTGCTGAAAGCTGAAAATAACCTCACTTAAAGTTTGGGGCTTGTCGCCGTGAATCTTCACATTGCGACTAAAGTATTCACAGCAGTGCCAAAAATTCCAGGTCATTAAATGTGGGTGCCAGCGGTCTACCAGCAAACAAAAAATGAAATCAATACGACCACTCACATTCCAGCTGGGTTATGTTATAGGGAGATGCATTAAAATTGACAGGAGGTCAAATATGGTCAAAATTTGACAATTTCTCGTTGTATAGCGGGACATAGACAAGAGCACCAAGAAAAACACCCACATTTCTCTAAAGAACTCGCCCAGGGCTGCTGAAAGCTGGAAAATAACCTATCTAGAAGTTTGGGGCTTTTTACCCGTGAATCTTCACTTTGCGACTAAACTATTCACAGCAGTGCCAAATTTTCTGGGTCACTGAATGCGGGTGCCAGCGCCCTACAAGCAAACCAAAAATGAAAGCAATGCGACCACTGAAAATACAGCTGGGTCATGTTATAGAGAGGTACGTTGAAATTGAAAGGTCAGCACAAATGGTCAAAATCCGACATTTTCTCACCTTTCTGCCCGTTCGCCGCTCAGAAAATGACAATGACCATCCTCATCTTGTTGTGTAGCTGGACATAGAAAATAACACCGTGAAAAAGAGCCACATTTCTCTAAAGAACTCACCCAGGGCTGCTGAAAGCTGAAAAAGAACCTATCTAGAAGTTTGGGGTTTTTACCCGTGAATCTTCACTTTGCGACTAAACTATTCACAGCAGTGCCAAATTTTTAGGGTCATTGATTTTGAGTGCCAGCGCCCTACAAGCAAACCAAATATGAAACCAATGCGACCGCTGACATTACAGCTGGGTCATGTTATAGAGGTACGTTAAAATTGGAAGGTCAGCACAAATGGTCAAAGTCCGACATTTTCTCACCTTACTGCCCGTTCGCAGCTTAGAAAATGACAATGACCATCCTCATCTCGTTGGTTAGCTGGACATAGACAAGAGCACCATGAAAAAGAGTCACATTTCTCTAAAGAACTCACCCAGGGCTGCTGAAAGCTGAAAAAGAACCTATCTAGAAGTTTGGGGCTTTTTGCCCGTGAATCTTCAATTTGCGACTAAAATATTCACAGCAGTACCAACTCTTCTGGGTCACTGAATGCGGGTGCCAGCGCCCTACAAGCAAACCAAAAATGAAACCAATGCGACCACTGAAATTACAGCTGGGTCATGTTATAGAGAGGTACGTTGAAATTGAAAGGTCAGCACAAATGGTCAAAATCCGACATTTTCCCACCTTTCTGCCCGTTCGCCGCTCAGAAAATGACAATGACCATCCTCATCTTGTTGTGTAGCTGGACATAGAAAATAACACCGTGAAAAAGAGCCACATTTCTCTAAAGAACTCACCCAGGGCTGCTGAAAGCTGAAAAAGAACCTACCTAGAAGTTTGGGGCTTTTTACCCGTGAATCTTCACTTTGCGACTAAACTATTCACAGCAGTGCCAAATTTTCTAGGTCACTGAATGCGGGTGCCAGCGCCCTACAAGCAAACCAAAAATGAAAGCAATGCGACCACTGAAAATACACCTGGGTCATGTTATAGAGAGGTACGTTGAAATTGAAAGGTCAGCACAAATGGTCAAAATCCGACATTTTCTCACCTTTCTGCCCGTTCGCAGCTCAGAAAATGACAATGACCATCCTCATCTCGTTGTGTAGCTGGACAAAGATAAGAGCACCAAGAAAAAGACCCACATTTCTCTAAAGAACTCGCCCAGGGCTGCTGAAAGCTGAAAAAGAACCTATCTAGAAGTTTGGGGCTTTTTACCCGTGAATCTTCACTTTGCGACTAAAATATTGACAGCAGTGCCAACTTTTCTGGGTCACTGAATGCGGGTGCCAGCGCCCTACAAGCACACCAAAAATCAAACCAATGCGACCACTGAAATTACAGCTGGGTCATGTTATAGAGAGGTACGTTGAAATTGAAAGGTCAGCACAAATGGTCAAAATCCGACATTTTCTCACCTTTCTGCCCGTTCGCAGCTCAGAAAATGACAATGACCATCCTCATCTCTATGTGTAGCTGGACATAGAAAATAGCACCATGAAAAAGAGCCACATTTCTCTAAAGAACTCACCCAGGGCTGCTGAAAGCTGAAAAAGAACCTATCTAGAAGTTTGGGGCTTTTTACCCGTGAATCTTCACTTTGCGACTAAACTATTCACAGCAGTACCAAATTTTCTGGGTCACTGAATGCGGGTGCCAGCGCCCTACTAGCAAACCAAAAAAGAAACCAATGCGACCCCTGAAATTACAGCTGGGTCATGTTATAGAGAGGTACGTTGAAATTTAAAGGTCAGCACAAATGGTCAAAATCCGACATTTTCTCACCTTTCTGCCCGTTCGCAGCTCAGAAAATGACAATGACCATCCTCATCTTGTTGTGTAGCTGGACATAGAAAATAGCACCTTGAAAAAGAGCCACATTTCTCTAAAGAACTCGCCCAGGGCTGCTGAAAGCTTAAAAAGAACCTATCTAGAAGTTTGGGGCTTTTTACCCGTGAATCTTCACTTTGCGACTAAACTATTCACAGCAGTGCCAAATTTTCTGGGTCACTGAATGCGGGTGCCAGCGCCCTACAAGCAAACCAAAAATCAAACCAATGCGACCACTGAAATTACAGCTGGGTCATGTTATAGAGAGGTACGTTGAAATTGAAAGGTCAGCACAAATGGTCAAAATCCGACATTTTCTCACCTTTCTGCCCGTTTGCAGCTCAGAAAATGACAATGACCATGCTCATCTCGTTGTATAGCTGGACATAGACAAAAGCACCAAGAAAAAGACCCACATTTCTCTAAAGAACTCGCCCAGGGCTGCTGAAAGCTGAAAAAGAACCTATCTAGAAGTTTGGGGCTTTTTACCCGTGAATCTTCACTTTGCGACTAAACTATTCACAGCAGTGCCACATTTTCTGGGTCACTGAATGCGGGTGCCAGCGCCCTACAAGCAAACCAAAAATGAAACCATTGCGACCACTGAAAATACAGCTGGGTCATGTTATAGAGAGGTACGTTGAAATTGAAAGGTCAGCACAAATGGTCAAAATCCGACATTTTCTCACCTTTCTGCCCGTTCGCAGCTCAGAAAATGACAATGACCATCCTCATCTCGTTGTGTAGCTGGACATAGACAAGAGCACCAAGAAAAAGACCCACATTTCTCTAAAGAACTCGCCCAGGGCTGCTGAAAGCTGAAAAAGAACCTATCTAGAAGTTTGGGGCTTTTTACCCGTGAATCTTCACTTTGCGACTAAAATATTGACAGCAGTGCCAACTTTTCTGGGTCACTGAATGCGGGTGCCAGCGCCCTACAAGCACACCAAAAATCAAACCAATGCGACCACTGAAATTACAGCTGGGTCATGTTATAGAGAGGTACGTTGAAATTGAAAGGTCAGCACAAATGGTCAAAATCCGACATTTTCTCACCTTTCTGCCCGTTCGCAGCTCAGAAAATGACAATGACCATCCTCATCTCTATGTGTAGCTGGACATAGAAAATAGCACCATGAAAAAGAGCCACATTTCTCTAAAGAACTCACCCAGGGCTGCTGAAAGCTGAAAAAGAACCTATCTAGAAGTTTGGGGCTTTTTACCCGTGAATCTTCACTTTGCGACTAAACTATTCACAGCAGTACCAAATTTTCTGGGTCACTGAATGCGGGTGCCAGCGCCCTACAAGCAAACCAAAAATGAAACCAATGCGACCCCTGAAATTACAGCTGGGTCATGTTATAGAGAGGTACGTTGAAATTTAAAGGTCAGCACAAATGGTCAAAATCCGACATTTTCTCACCTTTCTGCCCGTTCGCAGCTCAGAAAATGACAATGACCATCCTCATCTTGTTGTGTAGCTGGACATAGAAAATAGCACCTTGAAAAAGAGCCACATTTCTCTAAAGAACTCGCCCAGGGCTGCTGAAAGCTTAAAAAGAACCTATCTAGAAGTTTGGGGCTTTTTACCCGTGAATCTTCACTTTGCGACTAAACTATTCACAGCAGTGCCAAATTTTCTGGGTCACTGAATGCGGGTGCCAGCGCCCTACAAGCAAACCAAAAATCAAACCAATGCGACCACTGAAATTACAGCTGGGTCATGTTATAGAGAGGTACGTTGAAATTGAAAGGTCAGCACAAATGGTCAAAATCCGACATTTTCTCACCTTTCTGCCCGTTTGCAGCTCAGAAAATGACAATGACCATGCTCATCTCGTTGTATAGCTGGACATAGACAAAAGCACCAAGAAAAAGACCCACATTTCTCTAAAGAACTCGCCCAGGGCTGCTGAAAGCTGAAAAAGAACCTATCTAGAAGTTTGGGGCTTTTTACCCGTGAATCTTCACTTTGCGACTAAACTATTCACAGCAGTGCCACATTTTCTGGGTCACTGAATGCGGGTGCCAGCGCCCTACAAGCAAACCAAAAATGAAACCATTGCGACCACTGAAAATACAGCTGGGTCATGTTATAGAGAGGTACGTTGAAATTGAAAGGTCAGCACAAATGGTCAAAATCCGACATTTTCTCACCTTTCTGCCCGTTCGCAGCTCAGAAAATGACAATGACCATCCTCATCTCGTTGTGTAGCTGGACATAGACAAGAGCACCAAGAAAAAGACCCACATTTCTCTAAAGAACTCGCCCAGGGCTGCTGAAAGCTGAAAAAGAACCTATCTAGAAGTTTGGGGCTTTTTACCCGTGAATCTTCACTTTGCGACTAAAATATTCACAGCAGTGCCAACTTTTCTGGGTCACTGAATGCGGGTGCCAGCGCCCTACAAGCAAACCAAAAATCAAACCAATGCGACCACTGAAATTACAGCTGGGTCATGTTATAGAGAGGTACGTTGAAATTGAAAGGTCAGCACAAATGGTCAAAATCCGACATTTTCTCACCTTTCTGCCCGTTCGCAGCTCAGAAAATGACAATGACCATCCTCATCTCGTTGTGTAGCTGGACATAGAAAAGAGCACCATGAAAAAGAGCCACATTTCTCTAAAGAACTCACCCAGGGCTGCTGAAAGCTGAAAAAGAACCTATCTAGAAGTTTGGGGCTTTTTACTCGTGAATCTTCACTTTGCGACTAAACTATTCACAGCAGTGCCAAATTTTCTGGGTCACTGAATGCGGGTGCCAGCGCCCTACAAGCAAACCAAAAATGAAACCAATGCGACCACTGAAATACACCTGGGTCATGTTATAGAGAGGTACGTTGAAATTGAAAGGTCAGCACAAATGGTCAAAATCTGACATTTTCTCACCTTTCTGCCCGTTCGCAGCTCAGAAAATGACAATGACCATGCTCATCTCGTTGTATAGCTGGACATAGACAAAAGCACCAAGAAAAAGAGCCACATTTCTCTAAAGAACTCGCCCAGGGCTGCTGAAAGCTGAAAAAGAACCTATCTAGAAGTTTGGGGCTTTTTACCCGTGAATCTTCACTTTGCGACTAAACTATTCACAGCAGTGCCAAATTTTCTGGGTCACTGAATGCGGGTGCCAGCGCCCTACAAGCAAACCAAAAATCAAACCAATGCGACCACTGAAATTACAGCTGGGTCATGTTATAGAGAGGTACGTTGAAATTGAAAGGTCAGCACAAATGGTCAAAATCCGACATTTTCTCACCTTTCTGCCCGTTCGCAGCTCAGAAAATGCCAATGACCATCCTCATCTCGTTGTATAGCGGGACATAGACAAGAGCACCATGAAAAAGAGCAACATTTCTCTAAAGAACTCGCCCAGGGCTGCTGAAAGCTGGAAAATTACCTATCTAGAAGTTTGGGGCTTTTTACCCGTGAATCTTCACTTTGCGACTAAACTATTCACAGCAGTGCCAAATTTTTAGGGTCACTGATTGTGGGTGCCAGCGCCCTACAAGCAAACCAAATATGAAACCAATGCGACCGCTGACATT